TATCCGATTGAGGTGATTCAAACTAAGTTCGGAAGGTAATTCAGAGGATACAATTCTTCTAGAAATAAAATTTTCCCGTGTCAAATATTTGCTATTCTAAAAATGGTTCTCAAGTTGAGGCTAAAAACTGGAGCATTACTTCTTTGGCTGGAAATTGATTTGTGAAAATACTTCCATTATCTTTCACTCATTTGACTTCCAATTGTATTCAATTGATCTCATATAATCTTCAATTATCATTTTGTGTTCTGAATCAACTATTGAATGTTTATACTTTGGTCCTCAACCTTTGGATTTTCTTCATTTTTCTTTCATTTTTTTCCAAATCTACCAATTTGCATTGAGTTCAATCTATCAAACATAATCAATACAAACTACTAAGTTATAACTCATCCAAATCACTAACAAATACTCTAATATAATAGTTTAGATAAGTGTACAAAATATACTTATCAAACACCCCCAAACTTGAACATTTGTTTGTCCTCAACCAAAATATAACCTAACTTAATCAAAAATTTTAAACACACATATGGTTAGATAATTTGCCTTTTAGTCTCAAGATTGGAATATATGTATTAATTTATACTTATTAAATGCAAAATCGACGCGTGTGTGAAAATTCATGTCAAGCATCATAAATTCATGAAGTGATTTAAATCTGAACTCTCAATAGTCAAATTTGTCCTTCATCTTCTCGTAAGTTTCACACCACCAAACTTATTCTTTTCACTCTTTTCCCATAGTGTGATCTAATGTTGAATTTATATACTATTCATCACCCTCTCTAGTTTGGTTATATCTTACTAATTGCAATTCAACACATCAACAAATGCGGATATTCTTTATTTTCGATTTGTTTAACCTCCAAGAATCAATTAAATTAGTCATCCACTATCAAAGGTTTACATTCTCTCAAATAAGTATTGTGGGATTTAATCAAAGCATGTAATGATATATTTTTCCTTTTTCTTTTCCATCTTATGTGCGTACTTTTCTCCATTAAATTTTCTAAATGATATTTGTAGTGAGCTTTTGGCCGATAACTCTTAAGTCAAGTGACTATAGGGCACCAAATTTTAGATACCTTGCAAACTAAATCACTCGAGTCAAAAGTTTCACAATAAAACAATATTTTCTCTCTTTCATGCAATGATTAGTGCTATACACATCGTTAAACACTTATTCTAAAAAATCAACTTCTAACTTAAGATTTTTACCTAATTTTCTTTTTGTTGGCCTTGGACAATTCATACAAAATTTAGTACACATGGAATCCACATCTATCTCAATGTTTCCCTACAACGACTTAATCACCCACAAACTATCCTAGAATTAGTTTAAGGATGCATAATTTCGTGGTTATTTGGATTTAGCATCTAAAGTCATCTATTTGTTTTTCCTATTTTGAATCAAACTATTTCTTCACGATACAAAATATAAATCTTGTATACAAAAATATCAAGTTTCACATGAATAAGTATAAATAAATCCTAACATGTAACTTTTTTCACAATTTATAATCTAATACATGATTCCAAATATATGCATCATGTTAGGCAAAATTATCTAACCTACACAATCACACAAAAGAAATAAATAAGTTGAAAATATATGTTTTTAGCACTCGAACAAGCAAACAAACCAATGAAAACTAAATGTTTTTCCACCCCAAACTTATAACAAACATTGTCCTCAATGTGTAAAAATATAACAGAAAATATATGTCTTTTCCCTTATCTAATGTATTCAAGTGACACGTTCCTTCAAAATAGTAAAAATTAATCATAACATGAAATAATTTGTAGTAAGCTCATACACACTTTAAAAGGAAATATGTAGATGAAGATATCATATACTACTAAAAGCAATAAAAATTACTAATCCTATACTAAAAAGTAAAATAAATAAAAAGAAAGAAAATTGGGATGTTTCCTAATAAGCGCTTATTTATGATCATTAGCTTGATTTTGATGTTCGGTATCATGAAATTCTGAAGAAAGCTTTTGATATTTTGCTTAATTTGCTTATTTTGATTTTGATCCACTTTTGATTGATTCTTCAAATCTTAACCTTACTTCGTTCAATGTGATATGACTTGCCTATTCGATCTTATTCGAAATCAACTATATAGACTTCTTCCTCTTCGGACTTAATCACAAATTCAACAGTTGGACAATTGATGATGTCGAAAGAATGTGTGTTAATTTCATCATCATTAATTGCCACTTCTTCGCTTGATTCCTTTGTAATTAGTTTGTCATCCTCTTTGCTCTTCTTCAATAATTAATATCTCCTCGAGTTAAATGGCCGGTTCATAGTCTATATTCACCGACAATGGTAATTCTTTCCTTCCAACCTTTTCAAGTGGATTATATCTC